ATAGATAGAGAGAGAGAGAGAGAGAGAGAGAGAGAGAAAGAGAGAGAGGGGTTGGAATGTATAAGAGTACAAGTTGAGCCTACCATTCGGAACCCAGTTGACGTACTAGCCACATCCAGGGTTCCCCCCTCTCTGCTGTGCCACATTTCAGTCGTCGTAATGTCATGCGAGACAAGAAAGACGTCTTTAACTGATCCTACAAATTAATGTTGGGGGGAAAGAGGTGGGAGGGGGGAGAAGGAGTGGTCCAAATTTACATTTACTTTTTTTTTTGTTAACTCTTTGATGTTGTTCGTCTTCCTGGTACTCTCTGATTGTCGCATCTGAAGAATATTTATGGATGTGACAATAAGAAGTTGATGTTGTTGTTGTTGTTATTGCTGCTGTTGTTGTTGTTGCTGTTGTTGTTGTTGCTGTTCCTGTTGTAATTGTTGTTGCTGTTGTTGCTGTTGTTGTTACTGTGGTTGTTGTTGTTGTCGTCGTTGTTGTGGGTTTTTTCGGTTTTTATTTGGGGGCGGGTGATGGGGGGGGGGGGGAGAAAGGTCATATGTAGAAACAAAATTGCCTTAGTTTACCTTTCTCAGATTTCGATTGACATGAAAGGATCGATATAGCGCTCCGCCGTGTGTCTGTGGTCGTTCATGCGAACATCTACCCAGTGCACAACTTGGAACGTAACATGCATTTGCTTAATTGCCGTGGTTAATGCATTTCGGGGAAATATTATACAGAATCAGCGACAGGTATGCAAATGGAAACTGCACTTAAGGAAAACATAGTCCAAAACTGGCATTGTTTGAGGAGTTGCTCTTCATCGACCAAAGCCTTTTCTATCGGAGATGGACCCTCGTGCACAAGAAACGTACTAAATCTTTTCTATACTCTCTTACTTAATGGGGGGGGGGTACACCCCCAGAGTCAAAATTCGACTCAAAATTATTGAATTTGAGATGTAGGCATTTTTAGCTTCTTCAGCCTCTCCTGCAACTATTTCATAGCATAAGAACCCCAAAAACCGTATTTTTTCCCATACCGGGCATGTTTGTCACCGTCATTTCCTCATAAAGTCAGTATTTTATTTTTATTTTATCGGCCATTTTCTCAAAACGCGACTTTTCTCTATACTTTTTTTAATAACTCCACCATTTTTCTTCCAATCTTCATGAAATTTTCACAGAATGAAGAAAAGAAGTAATACTAAACATTTGTCTCTTGAATTTTTGATATATTGAGTAGATTCGTGTTGTTGGTGTCTGGAGTGTGGATTTTCACGGGAGCTACAGCTCAATGAGGACGGCTCCAGGCCCAGCCTCAACGTCTGTGTCGA